GGCCACAAGAACCCCACATCTGTCCTGGCCGGTTACATGCCAGCCTCCGGACACCCCTTAACCACAGAGGCCATGGCACTGGGGATTCTGCTCAGCCTGAGGCAAGAAGCTTCTCCAAAGGTGGTGGCCTAAGGCCAGATGCAGTGAGGGTTTCCAGGGACAGCCTCTCTCCATCCAAAGTGGATGTCAGGCAAATTCTGCCACCTTGTGGTGCTCTAGCATATGATTCCACCCCACCAGTCACAAAGCCCCGCCTTGCCCCCTCCATCCCCATCTGGTTCTTAGTCTGGGGTTTCCTCTCTCCTCTTCTCACTCAGGTCTTCCTGATCTGGATGTGTCCTTCCAAATCCCCTGGTCTCAGGGTGTTCTCGACTTTGTCCAACAGCCCTGTCATCCCCAAAGGCCCCTAGTCTTGGGGGTCCTCATCTGACTGTATTAGGACAATTTTCCCCTAAGTGGGCCAAAGGAGAAGCTGGGGGTCTCTCTCCTCCCACTTCAACCCCTTGTTCAACCGCTCAGCAGCTACTCAGGGCCTGGGTATCCAATATTTCAGCCATCAGTGGTGTGTTTGTACTGCAGAAGCCTCTGAATAAAACCTGTTGCTGACTTTTCTGGCCCACTTCTGTATGGCTTAGGGTACGGTAGCTGGTGTGTGTGTGTGTGTGTGTGTGTGTGTGTGTGTGTGTGTGTGTGTGTGTGTGTGTCTGTGTGTGTGTGTCTGGCCCACTTCTGTATGGCTTAGGGTAGGGTAGCTGGTGTGTGTGGGTGTGTGTGTGTGTGGGTGTGTGTGTGTGTGGGTGTGTGTGTGTGTGGGTGTGTGTGTGTGTGGGTGTGTGTGTGTGTGGGTGTGTGTGTGTGTGGGTGTGTGTGTGTGTGGGTGTGTGTGTGTGTGGGTGTGTGTGTGTGTGGGTGTGTGTGTGTGTGGGTGTGTGTGTGTGTGGGTGTGTGTGTGTGTGGGTGTGTGTGTGTGTGGGTGTGTGTGTGTGTGGGTGTGTGTGTGTGTGGGTGTGTGTGTGTGTGGGTGTGTGTGTGTGTGGGTGTGTGTGTGTGTGGGTGTGTGTGTGTGTGGGTGTGTGTGTGTGTGGGTGTGTGTGTGTGTGGGTGTGTGTGTGTGTGGGTGTGTGTGTGTGTGGGTGTGTGTGTGTGTGGGTGTGTGTGTGTGTGGGTGTGTGTGTGTGTGGGTGTGTGTGTGTGTGGGTGTGTGTGTGTGTGGGTGTGTGTGTGTGTGGGTGTGTGTGTGTGTGGGTGTGTGTGTGTGTGGGTGTGTGTGTGTGTGGGTGTGTGTGTGTGTGGGTGTGTGTGTGTGTGGGTGTGTGTGTGTGTGGGTGTGTGTGTGTGTGTGTGTGTCTGTGTGTGTGTGTCTGGCCCACTTCTGTATGGCTTAGGGTACGGTAGCTGGTGTGTGTGTGTCTGTGTGTGTGTGTCTGGCCCACTTCTGTATGGCTTAGGGTAGGGTAGCTGGTGTGTGTGGGTGTGTGTGTGTGTGTGCGTGTGTGTGTACGCAAGCGTCTATTCCTTGCCTGGCCGTTCCCACCCGACTCACAGGTACATCCCAGTCCCAGCCCCTCAGCTGTAGCAGTGACTCAGCTGTCTGGACCTAGCCTTCAGCCTCATACCAGCACCTACTCTGGACACCTCTCCTGGAAGAAGGGAGATGGGCAGTTTCCTCCCTCACTTCCTGTCTTCAGCACTGAAATTCCAAGGCGGGTGAAAGGTGACTAACGGTCTGAAATGACTGGCCATAATTCAGGCTCAATAAGCTTCTAGGAAATAAAGCAGAGAAGGGCAGGGGCCGAGGCTGCCCTGAGATTTCAGGCAAACAGGCTTTATCTTGCTGTGTGTGCTTGCAGCTTAGTGAGCTGTGAGCTCTTAATAATTGGGTTGCTGACCTTTCAGCTGTAGTCCTCATTCCCCTGCTGGGCTAACAGAATGGGTCTGCAAGCCTCTTCTGTTTTCAGTGCCCCATAATCCTGTGCCTAACAGTGGCTCTGGATTTCCCAGCCCAAGGTGGCACAGGGCTAACGTGCCCAACCAGCTGGATGTAGTTAACGGACTGACCTGCTATACACCCATTTTGAGATCAGCTGATGGAATCCATTAATGTCCAAATTACCCATGTCCCTTTCCAAATAGGTCAGAAATGCTTGGTTGCCACAATGTATTGCCTAGAAAAGGTGAGAATGGGAGTTGTAAATGCTAAAGTTGATACAGTAGAATTTAGAAGCCTAAATATGTTGGAAGGAAGGAAACATGTACTGAATGTTTATAACAACCCATGCACGGTGCTAAGTACTTTCACGTAAATTGTCACGTTACCTGAGCACTATTATCTTCATTTTACAGATGAGAAAGGTAAAGTTAAGAAGGTTAAGAACTAGCTTTGTACGCAGGTCTGAGTTCAAATTCTGACCCCACTACTTACAAGAGAGTAGTAACCGTAAGCAAATTAACTGACTTGAGTCTATTTTCTCTTCTGTAAAATAGGTCCTGTCCTGCTGGTTTAAATCAAAACGTACATTGTAGGCAAGGCCCTCACACCATCCCTGGCACTCAGGAGTCACTGTTATTAGTGATAGAAGTCCTAACTTAACTAAGATCATAAAATAAATTCAAACCCAGGTGTTCTGACTCCGAGTCCAGAGCTCACAGGGAAAGAAGCTGATTCACTTACATATTTTTGAAGTTCAGTTAGGTATAGGACCCAGACCAACAACTAATTATCCTGTAAAGTGCTGCGTGTAGAAGCACACAAGGTGCAGTAACGGCCCAGCAGAAGGTAATCTTTGAGAATAACTTACCAGGAAAAGGAGTTTCTAAGTGTGGCAGTATTTTCTCCATAGTGCTAGCAAAGGTGAACACCAGGAATAACTGGAAATCAATTGGGAAAGCAATGACCAAAGTGAGGGAGGGGGAAGGACTAAACCAAAACCTTTGGAGGATCCTTCTAGTGAGCTGGGTGGCCTGTTTTAAATGTTACACACATGCATGCTGTGGCCATTTCTCTTCTTAGATTGCACAAACACACCTCAAACCTCCTCCTCCCCATACCACTGCACACATTACTCTCTCCCATGCTGTTTGCTTTGAAGGTGCACATGCCCTAAAACACAGAGAATATTGCCTCTTATTTTGTTCCCTGACCATCTTCTCCCAAAAGATACTCTAAAAACAAATTTTTGGTCATGTCTGGCAGCCAGTGGAAAGTTTAAGCTTGGCATTCAGCAAATATAGTCGTTTCCACCATAAAGCTGCAAATCATGTATACTACAAAATCACATCCCAGAAACAACAGAAAAGGGAGTTGGGGCAAACTACTTAAAACATATGGAATTTTGTAGCCAGATCACTAAAAAAAAAAAAACCAGAATCAAGCCTAATGATGATGCTAATGCAGTTAAATCCCCACCAGCTTGTCCACCAGCCCCTGGCAGCCTTAAATCCTGGGCTCATGCTGCTCCCTGTGATGTAGGTCCTTTGAGACATAGATCCTAGGAGAGATAAGTTCCACCAAAATTAAAAATGTGATCCAACTTCTCCCTTTTCAATCAGTTTCCCTCCCCCTCTCCAGATAGCTGAACATAGTAACAAGGCTAATAGCAATTCCTGAAGCTACAAAACCAGCCCCGACTTGCCATAAAGGAATGCACTTCTACAAAATGTTCAGGTTTTCTTAAGGTATTCAATCTTGTCCCCCATCACTTCAAAATATTAACATTCTGGGGAAAATCTCACTAAAAGTAACATAACTTGGGGTTCTCCTTCTCCTGACACCATTTCTCTGTTTACCAACTGCATATATGCTACTTTCCACTAAAGAGCTAATGTTGTAGCAAACAGACGGTCTTATGCATGGTTGTGAAAATAGTCACCACTTCACCCCAGTGATCCCTTTCCTTCTTGGTTAGAGGTGCCCAGAGCCCTAAGAATATGCAGCACAGTTCACAGACACACAACTCACTCCAACACCCAGAAAGAGAAAGTGCATCCTGGTCCTATGGCTGTGCCCTGGCTCTACTCCAGATGTGCCACTACTGTTCATGATCAGCAAGCCTAAGCTTAGAAGACACCTCCCCTCAGTCGTGAGGGAAAGAGAACACGTGCAGGAGGTAAAGGGCAAGGAGAGGTGCCTGACGGACCAGGTGTCTCAATTTTGACCACAGAAATCAATTTCCCTGACCCTGTGCAATAAGATGAGGCTACATCTGTCACAGAAATAGAAATCCCATTTCACAAGCTCACATCATACAGGCCAGGCTGTTTAACCCAGAATGCTGCCTGAGAGGAAACCAGGAAGAGCCCGATGGAACCCAGGACTGCAGCCTTCTGACTGAAACCACTATTCTGGGCAGAGAGAGGCAAGCCTGAGTTCCTCTCTTCCACTCATTCAGCAAATGTTTGACTGCCTTCTATGTGCCAGGCACTGGGGACCAGTGGTGACCTGAACAACACACTAAAGAGCCAAGAGCCCCAACCTAGCGTCGAGAGATCAGCATTCTCCTCTAGCATCAACAGTGACATGCAGTATGACTCGGAGCCATGTCACAACCTGGCCATCATTCTTCCATTTGTAGGATGGAGATAAGCTGACCTTCCTTATTTCACATGACTGCTTTAAAACAGGTAAGACATGATTAAGTTATTTCTAAATTGAAAGAAACAAATACATAGACATACATACATGGAGGCGGACATTTGCTAAGCTAGATAAAAACACCTTCATATCAAGTGAAAAGGGAAGGAAAAACAAAACGGAAAACAGCTAAGAAATTATATAGAACTAGTTTTTTCTCATGGGCCTAGAAGCTTTCACAGAACTCAAGGCTTTTAGAAGCCTGATTCGTTTCCTTCTGTTCTTTCTTCCTGGGCCCAGTAAGCCAGTTGACTCACTATAAAGTAAACCAATACTCAATTATCAGCTTTGGAAAAAATGGAAAGGCACCCTAAGAGATGGCTCTCTCTTCAATTGGGAGAAGCCAGTAGTCCTCAAAAGGCAAATCAGCTGAGATGAACACAATAAGAGACTCATTTATTTCTCAGAATTTAGTTTGCTGCTTGGTATTCCCTACAAATGAGGGTCATCCACACAAGGTCCTTGAGGTCCTAATCCCAGACTTGGATGAGCATTGTTCACACACAGTTCAGTCCATTAGAGGTCCAAAAGAAATCTCCGAACCTGGGCCAGGTATTTTGGTTTCAAATAGTCACCCAGCTCCTCCTTACTGACCCATACATGATGGGCTTTCTTCCCGGCATGGGAAAAGTCTCCAGTGAGTAGTAGTGCTTTGAAGAAGAATACTTTGGCCCCAAGGTTACTCTCTGTCCGCATTGCCTGAGGGAACTTGAACTTGTAGTGCCCACAGGGTGCATTTCCTAGGAACTTGGCTTCCATATTGTTTTCTGAGGGGGAAAAAAATCAGAATTAGAAGATTAGGATACACCTAACTGTTTACTCTGGCTCCCAAAGTCAAAGAGGGTCTCTGCCAGAGCCACTCCGGAGTGAAGACTAGGGCCATTCCTGAAAAGAGCCTCTTCCCCTTTAAATCCAAATGCTTCCTGGCCCGTGAAATCCAGATTCTCTGGGTTCATTCCCATGTGCCAAGATAGTGTGTTTAGACTGAAGTCAGCAATGCAGTTATAATAACCCTAACTGGGGGTCTGAGCACCAGCATCCACATTGGCCCACTCATCATGTGCTGATGTAAAGCAAGGTTCATCCACCTTTAAAAGATGTGTCACACAGGAAGCATAAAAAGGACTTGATTTGACTTCTACAGGGAGAAAAATGTTACAAAGTTAAAAGACAAACACAGATGGGCAGACAACACCTGCAATCTATAACTAAGGGTTAACAACCTCAACCCAGTATTTTGAAGGATAGGGAAATGATGGATTACTTACTAAATGGCATCTGAAGAACTGGCTAGCTAAGTGGGAAAAATAAATCTGGATCCCAAGCTCAGTCCTCACATCAAAATTGATCCCATATAGATCAAAGATTTAACAACAGAAATTTAAACTTTCATAAGAGATTTGTTCATTCTGGATGGTGGTTTCATGGGCATGCAATATTTTCTATTTTCTAAATTCTATATTTTTAAATTTTTCATTTAAAAAAGCATAAGAGTATTAGAAAAACTGTGGAATACTTTCTGTATCATTTTTGAGAGGGGAAGTCCTTTCCAAGCAAGGCATAAAATTCAAAAATCAAAAAAAGAAAAGACTTATACTTGTCTACATAAAAATTAAATCTTTCTCCAAGAAAAAACAAAGCATAATAAAAGTCGAAGACAAAATGACAAATTAGGAAAAATACTTTCAACGCATTCAACAAAGGAATAACATCTTAAGGCATAAGAAGCACTTAGAAATCAATAAGGATAAAACCAACAAATCAAAAGAAAAGTGAACTGAACATATGAACAAGAAGTTCATATAAAATTAAGTATCGGTGGCCTATAAGTACATTAAAAGGTACATAATCTTCTTAACAATTAAAGAAATACAAATTAGAACAACAATAACATATCATTACTGGTGAAGTTCAAAAACTTTGAGGTATATATTGTGAGAGAAAAGGGTAAAATGAGTGCTTTCACACACGTCACAGGGATATATGTTAGTATAACTGCTATTACTTGGGGAGAGGTATCAATTTTAATTGTACATACTCTTTCTTTGACCTAGCAACTCGACTTCTAGAACTTTACCCTCAAAGATACACCTATTTGCCCATATGAGCGAAGATGAGCGTATAAGGACATAACAGCTAAACTTGTAAAAGCAACAGACTGGCTAACGAACTGTAGTACGACAGTTTGTATTATGAAATAGTATGCTGGCGTTAAAAAGTTTAAGATAGGGGTTTTATATGCTGATCTGGAGAGATGTTTAAACGCTGCATACGAAAGAAAAAGGAAGGTACATGCACACACACACTGTTATGTATCCTATTATAGGGAAAAAAGAAATAAAATATTTATGTGCCTGCATATGCAAAGGAAATTTCTAAAAAGAATACACAAAAAAATTTAATGGAAGCTGCCTCTGAGAAAGAAAGAATTACTTCTTATAGTACATTTACTAGGCACTTTGATAATTTTTCATCATATACATGAATTGATTTTCTCATATTTAAAAAAACAACACTATTAGCATTAGATGAAGATTTTGGATACAGTGTGAGCTCACATACACTACAAAATGTTAGTAAAGGTTATCTGTGAGAGGTAGAATTATATTGGCATATTGCTTTATACTTTCCTAAATTTTCCAAACTCAGTTCAATAAATATTACTTTTCTATAATCTGGAAAAGATGAATTAAAAAATGTAATCAAATCAAAAAGGAAAAAAACAGCTCATTATAAACATGAGTAAAGGATCCAGAAAGGCAGTTCACAAAAGAAGAAATACAAACCACCAACAAACATATGAAAGGATGGTCAGTATCACCAGCAAACAGGAAAATGCCAATCCAAAAGAGATCATTTTCACTGACTGGACAGATAAAAATTAAAAAGGGACCATTTCATTTGCTGGTGAGATTTGGGCAGAGGCACTCCCACACACTGCGCCTAAAAACAATGGCTGTTATATACATCCTAAAGGACAACTGGACAGTACCTATCAAAATCTTAAGTGTATATACCTTTGACACATTAATTCCACCTCTAGAAATTCCATCTTGCAGAAATCCTGAAAGCGTGGGGCCAGTGGGGAGGAAAGGAGTGCACTTTCCCTTTTTCTTATTTGTACAGTCAGCCCTCTGTATCCATGGGTTCCACATCTGTGGATTCAACCAACCAGAGATCAAAAATATTAGGAAAAAAAAATTGCGTCTGTACCAAACATGTACAGAATTTTTGTCATTATTCCCTAAAGAATACAGTATAACAACTATTTACCTAGCACTTACATTGTATTAGGTATTAAAAGTAATCTGGAGATGATTTAAAGTATACAGGAGGACGTGCAAAGGTTATATGGAAATACTATGCCATTTTACATCAAAGACCTGAGCACCCATGGATTTTGGTATCTGTGCGAGGTATCCCCACAGATTCCGAAGGACAACTGCATGCTTTTACATTGCTTGAACTTTTCTTTGCCATTTTAATTATTTTATATTTTTACCATTTTAATAAATTTGCGATAAATTGATATATTTGCAGCAAATCAATGTATTTTGTTTTATATGCACCTATTAAATATAATATGTCTTTTATATATTTCCTTTTACATTCATGTATTACAATGGGAATGTTACAAAGAGGAAAGTGTAGTGCTGAGGTGGAACCCCTTTCCACATGGCACACAGGAGCAGAAGCTGAGCAAGCACCAGTTAAGAATGTTTGACATGAGGGAGACTGAGCTCCTGAACACAATGATCCTGGCAAGAAACCCAGTTGCCAACTGCCATGTGATGGCTCAGGAGACTGAAAGAGCAGCAAAGCCCCCCACATATCCCATTCTGTCTTGATGCCTCTCCTGCAGGCCACACAAGCCCCTGTGGGAAAGGATCAAGGGAGCACACACTGGCTGCTGACGTTTTGTGAGCAGGTACTTGTGCTCATGGCAGTGCCAGAAAAGCAGCTGTGCACCTACTATGTGCCAGGTATTTTGCTGAGACCTGAGATCATGGAGAGGAACAGATACTGTCCATACTTTCAAGGAACTCAAAATTTTGGCTGGGGAGAGAAATGTGTTAATAAACAATTATAGTGCAATGGTATAAGTTAAAGGGTGTATTCTCCACTAGAACATAAACTTCTACAGAGCAGGGTAGTGTCCTGTTCATCATTGTGACCCACTGCCCGTAAAGGGCCTGGCAAACGGTAGGCAAAGAGTAAATGCTTGTTGCATAAACTGAGTAAGGGCACACAGTGCTGGGGAACCTAGAGAGAGAAATAGCTCTCTCCCCCTGGAGGCTCAGGGAAGGTTCCACCACAGAAGGTATAATGTTTGAACTGAGTCTTAAAACTGAGCAGTCAGGCCAGGGAGGAGTCAGGGACCAGTAAGCCCCAAAGCAGAGAAGCACGAAAGACAACATTATTCAAGGAATGCAAAAGGTCTGCAAGGTTAGAACTTGGAATATACATTCATGAGCAGCAAGATGAAAGACCGATGAGATTGGGACCAGAGCAAAAAAGATTTGCAGGCCATGCTTGAGGTTTAAATTTTTATAGGAAACCTTTTAAGAATTCTACGTGTGACAAGCGATTGTGTTTCAGAAAGCTCGTTTTGACAGCAATGAAGGGTGTGACACAAAAGCAAGGGGGAACTTATTTGGCATCTACTTCAATAGTCCAGTGTAGTGATTCTCAACCACTATAACCTTGCTCCCCAAGTAATATCTGGCATTGTCTAGAAATATGTTTGGTTGGCACACTCGTGCGAGGGGGAGAAGAGATGAGATAGTACTACTGGCATCTAGTCAGTAGAGGCTAGAGATGCTGCTAAACATCCTACAATGCACAGAACAGTCCCCCCACAAAGAACTATCCAGCCCCAAACATCAATAGTGCCGAAGTTGAGGAACCCTGGTTTAGCAAGAAGTAAAGAGGGTCACAGCTAAAGCTGTGGGAATAAAGAGGGGACTATTTAGAACAGACGAGGTAATACTCAAGGACTTAATGAATATCACAATGAGGTCAAGGATAACTCTGAGGTTTCCAGCTGAGTGAATGGATAAGCAGTGGTGCAGATAAGCAGAGCTGTAAGGATAAGAGGAGAAAGGAGGCTTAGAAAATGGCAGAAACATTAATTTTGAAAGCACTAAATTTAAAAACCTCAGTGAGACAAAGAAAGAATCTCAGCTGGTCTAAGTAAAATCCTTACCTGGATTTGTCTAGTTAAATTTTTATAAAAATCATAGTTTCCATTAACGTCCCCACCCCCACCCTTAAATCCAGTCTCACAGTCAGCCTGTAAATCCTCTGGCTGAGTCTGAAGTGAATCTTAAGGAATTCAGAGAAAGGCAGAGAACTCACCTGAGAGTGTGGCCAGAGTTCGCTCAGCTGTTCCTCTGAGGGTCTCCCCAGGCTGCCACTCCGCCTGGGGCAGCATCCAAACATCCTGGTCTCCAAGCTTCTCTCTGACTAAAAGGATAAGGTTCCTGTCTAGCTTCCGGTGCAGAGAAGTTCGGTCATTCTTTTCATCAGCTTCTACAAAAAATAGGGAGTCAGAGGAAGCAAGAAGACCGTGATCTGCCAGAACCAAGGAGCTTGTTACGCAGTCTTCCCTTAAGGTACAGCCACATCCTTGGCCTTAAAGAGTTTAAAACCAAATTACAACCCAGACTCTAATCTCTCTAAGACCTCTTCAGGGTACAGTCTCACAATCTTGAGGAAACTGAAAGATAAGAAGACAAAACTAACAGCTGAACTTTTTCTCTGAAAATCAAAACATATTTTGAGTGGGGAAAAAACAGTGCCCGTACTAATTCAAACATGACTACTTCATTGGTTTTGACACTATTACTGATTTAATTAGCCCCCGCTTTCTCTATTCTTCAGTCTTCACCTGTAAAACAAGGATGATAGAACTCAATGCCCCGCTTTAAGAGGGATTTCAGATAAAACATAGGAACTAGTGAAAAAAAGCCTTAATTTCTCTCACTCTCAGACTCAAAGTAGGAGTTAAACTTACATAACATTCACAAAGTTTAACTGAGAGAAAAAAGCCGATGCCCTTACCTCCCATTTAAAAATAAGAAAGGCCTTTTAAAAATCATATTAGGGTAGGTGTGAGGAATAGGGAAAATAATTTATTTTCCTCCTATCTGAAAGAAATTTTGTTATTTGAAATTATTTGCTACTTAAAACACAAAAGCAGGGCTAAGCAATTGTCCTTTATTTGGGAACCAGAATACCCGTCTTTCCCTTCCTTCTTGATGGCTTAAATAGACCACACCTGTTATGCGAGCTCCAGGTTTGAACTGTAAAAATGTCTGCTCCCACATATCTTCCAAATCTTGCACCAGCAATATATCCTGTTCATCTTCATCATAGAGGTCAGCTTTCTTTCTTGCCTGTTGCTGGGCTTCATCCAGAACACGAAGCTCATGGTCTGAATACAGGCTTTTCTCTCTCTCAATCTGACAAAGTTAAAAGGACAAAACAAACAGGAAGAATAAAACAGAGCTATAGCACACTTGATGGGCTTAGAAGTTTATCACCCAACATAACCAGACATACGATCAAAACACACAGAGGGAAAACAGAGACAAAGAAAAAAAGCCACCTACACTTTGAGCTCGAGTTACTTTTGCCAAAATGTTAGAATGTGAGTGTAGGTCAAGACTGCTACAAAGAGCAGAGGACTGGGACAGGCATTGCCTACCCCCTTACCACACTCCAGTTGTGTCAGTCTTTGATCAGAATCTCACTTGCCAAGGACTTTCCTGCCTCAGGGACCTTGGACATGCTGTTCCTTCTTTCTAGAATGTTTTTCCACACATTCTTTCCCCTAGGAGATACCTACTTATCCTTCTGATCTCAATTTAAATATCATTTTCATGGAGAGACATTCCTTGAGACTTCCCATAAAATTAAAATTAGATGTCTCTGTTAAACACTCTTAGTTTTCCTGTGTTTTCCTTTACAACACTTATCAGAGTCTGCAGTCATGTGATTATTTGGTTATTGACTGCCCCCTCAATCCACTAGACTAAAGCTCTGAGAACCAGAGCTATGTTTGTCTTATTCAGTACTGCACCTCTATCACTTAACACATTGATGTGCTCAATGCACATCTGTAGGGTGAGTAATGATTATTTGTTGAGTGAGTAAGTAAATGAGTAAATTGATTAAAAAGCACGGAAGTTTATACCTCTCAGTAGCCCAAGCCAAAAACATCTCAGATTCTGGGGAAACATAACAGCATTCAATAACTCTCTGTGGAGACCCACCCTTACAGCCACTACACTCAGTTTTTGCCCATGTTTCCTCATCTACCCTTCACACAAAGCCCTGGGAGGTTAAAAAAAAAAAAAAAAAAAAAAAGAGAGCATCAAAAGAGGAAACCATAAGGATTGCAACATTTAAGTCCAAGAAACTTCCCAGGGTTGATCTGATACCAAGTGGCCCATGATGTCAGAATCCAGAAATTTTGCCCAGGACTTGCCGATTATGGGGAAGGGATAAACCCAGCAATTCACACTTAAACTGCTGGACATTCAGCTTAGCCTGTTTCCTGCTCACAGATGATCTGTGGTCCTTACAGATGTGCCCACTGTCTCCTGTACTTCCTTCTTAACGATAGAGCATCACCAATACTAGCTTAGCATAAGGGCAGCAGTGTTAGAGCTTAATGCTGATGAAAGAACTCTACTTCAACAATCACTGCAGTCTGTGGGAGTAATAAAGCAAGGCCACAGATCAGTAACCTGCACAACCAGCAGTCTCCTTTGAAGTTGCAGGTGTCCTGGGAAGCAGATAAAGTCAGAGCCAAGGAGTCTGACTCCAGTGTTCATAGGACTGAGCCCAAGAACGAAGATTAAGACATGATATGCACGTAGTCACAGACCCTCTCCCTGCTGTATTCTTCAACACACTTCTCCCTTTGTCTTTCTATTTATATAAGCCCCCTGAAACCCTAAAGAGGGGAGACAGTTCTGGTCTGTCTCCTCAGACGTCTGATAATAAACTTCCTGTTTCGCAGCAACATTTGGGACTAACAAGTCTTTTGTTTCCGAGCGGAGAGCAGCGTGACCCGGGAACCGGTAACATTAACACTCATCACATCTCCCCTCCAGCCTTAAGCTCCTCGTGACAGGGACTGATTATTGTACACCCCCGGATTCCTATTGTGTTGAATATACAAGGAGAGCATCTCCAGAGAGTTGCCTATGGTGACAACAAAGACAACCAACGAAAAGAAACTACTTTTTGCTGAACGCCTACTCTGTACCAAACCAATTCGGTAAGGTACGTACCACTTTGCAGGTATGTATACGGAAATTCAGAGACTGAAATTACTTGCTCAAGGGCACACAGACTAACTGGTACTGGAGTCGGGATTGAATCCAGGCCCACGTGCTGCTGATGCTTCCTCAGCGTCACCCTGGAGCGCGCATCTCAGTCCTACCTGCTGAAGCACAGCCGCCATCTCTTCCTGCAATGGGGTCAGGTTCTTGGAGACTAGCGGTGGCCGCTGCAGGCACAACGCGCCCAACAGGCGCCACGGGGACCCGCTGCTTGAGGGTGCGGCCGCAAGAGCCAGGTTGCGAGAACCTAGGCTGCCGGCCCACAGCCTCTCGAACCGCCGCCAACCCCCCGCCACCCCTAGCAGAGCACGCCTTCCATGCGCCGCCATCTTCCTGCCATCCCACAATAATCCGCGGCTCCCCGCCGGGACCTCAGCCAATCCCATGTTCCCACAAGGCAGCGCGGGAGCGGCGGGGCGGGGCGGAGGGGGGGACGAGCTGCGTCCCCGGAACTCCTAGAAGGAACCGTTCCGATATGGATGCGTGAGCCGGGATCTCGTGTTAAAAGGCGGATCCCAGGTGAACACGCAACGATCGTTTGTATAGAGCATGTAAATGGGAATAAGAGTATTTAGTGGATCTTAGGAAGAGCAATCAGATGACTTTCCCTTCTGTACCCTCCCGCACAGGTGCTCGTGGTGCTGGTGCCGCTCCAGGTAGGGACGCCGCCGACGGGAGCAGACTGGGGTCAATTCAAGTCATGCAGGTTGTAAGAAACGCGGGATCTTGGCTCCTGCGGTCATGGGCTTGGCCCCGGATGACTGGGTAAGAATGATTGTCCTCTCGAGCCGACAGCCACCCCCGGGACTGCGGGACTGCACTCCTGCCCGTGTCCCATGAGTCACCGGGTTCCAGTAACCTTTAGGCCATGGATGTCACCGAACTTTTTCTTCGCCACAGGGTTGTGGCCAGGGCGCCGGCCCAGACCATCCACACGGGCTCTCGGGAGCTGCAAGACGTGGCGGCCAAGCAGGAAGTTGAGGAGAAGGCGGCGGCTCCGAGCCGCAGCAGCTTCAGGTGAGGGCCACTTAAGTCCAACGCTCGGGAGACCACAACCCATTACTCTTGCCCGCCACCCTCCAGAGTCAAGAGAACCAGTGGATTCTCAACCCTGACACTTGCCATCTGGGGAAGGTTATGCACATAAATCTTCAAGCTTCGGCTCTCTCATCTGAAAACGGGGATAATGCGGAGAGGTTGTTGTGAGAATCTATTACGATGAACCCTGTTCAGTGAACATTTGTTGAATGAACGAGTGAATGTTGGATGTGTATCGTAAACGTCGTTTTTCATTCCTCGGAGATAGAGATCAGGTCAAGCTAACAATATTCCCTGCCTAATGGAACAGATTATCGTACACTGTTTAGAGTTAGTCCAAGGTCCAGGGTGGATTTTGTGCTCAGCCATAGGAACTGGCATCTTGCTTCCCACCAGTGCCACGACTTCTATGTGCTAGCTATGTACACATTCACTTAATTTTATGTCCATTTAACAAACACTGAGCACATACTACATGCCAGGCATCATGCTGGGTGCTAGGAATACAAATAGAGAAGATCATTCTTCTCCACAAGTAGTTCACAGTCTTCCAGAGAAGACAAACATGCACACATTTCCACCATAATCTGATCAATAGTATAATGGAGGCAAGAACTGGTTGTAAGTATGAAAGAACAAGTGTCTCACTCCTGAGGAAATCAGGCAAGACTGTGGAGAAAATAATGTGGAGCTTAGAAGTGAATTAAATGGATGTTCAGCTAGACAAGATAAAAGGTCTCATTGTAGACAAAGGTAACATTCTGTGTAAAGGCAAGCAATGTGAAAGAACACGGTGTATTAAGCTGTGAGTGTGTGTGTGTACGACTGTGTGAAGGCACATGAGGCCAGCAAGACAAGAAGGAATCAATTCTGAGGATCTTGTCTGTCACACTGGAGCTTTTTACCCTGTCCCCACTGTAGGCAGTGGTGAGCTGCCAAAAGGATCTAAACCAAAATTCTGTTGTAGTCATTCAACAATGCCAGGCACTGTTCAGAGTGTTGGGGACATATCCCTGACCAAACAGACAAAAAGCCCTACCCCCATAGAACTTAAATTCTAGTAGGTGGGAGACAGTAAATAGGAAAATAAAAAGTAGCAAACAATTGGTATAACAGTTGTTGGGATTGGGGGTTCAGCAGTATGCACAGCCACATTCTGTAAGATTTCAGCTTTTACTGAGTGAGATGGGAAGCCATTAGAGGGTTTTGAGTAGAGTTGACATGATCTGCTTACATTTTAAAGGGATTCTCTTTGTCTGCTCTGTTAATATTAAACCACGGGAGAACACTAATGGAATTTGATAGAAGTCTTCTAAGCACTTAGAAGATTATTGAAATAATTCAGGCAAGAAATGACAGTGGCTTGGACCAGGATGATGGCCATGGAGGTAATATAAATGGTCAGACTGATATATTTTGAAGGAAGAACCAATAGGATTTGTTAATATAAGGTTTGAGAAAAAAAGAAGTGTGAAGGAAGACTCCAAAATTTGAGACCTAAACAACAGGAAAGATGGAGTTGTCATTTATTAAGGTGGGGAATACTAACTCTGCCATGTATATAGGAGCTGGCAAAGGTTTGATGACAGAGATCTCTCTCAAGCCTTTCCTACGTTACAGATTGGCTTCCACATGTGGGGGAAAAAAAAAAGATGGGGAATACTGCAGCAGTTTGGATTATGGTAGTTATGTTTGAGATGCTTAATGAACGTCTAAGTGGAGACACAATGTAAACTATTAGAAATGAAGTTCAAGAACAGATCTGGGCTAGAGGTATACAATTGAGAGACAATATGATATAGATAATAATTAAAACCGTGAGAGGACAAGATCATCAACACAGTAAGTGTAGATGGAGAGAGGTGGGCCAAGGATTGAACCCTAGAGTAGTACTCCGACATTTAGAGATTTGGTAGATGAGGAAAAACCTGAAAAAGAGACAAGGAACCTCCAGAGAGGTAGTAAGAAAGCCAGGAGAAATTTATTTTTTAATATGGTTCAAGGCGGGGAGATCAGCTGTGTCAAATGTTGCTGATATGACAGACCTATGACAGAATTGCTCATTAAATTTAACAATGTGGAGTTGATTGGTGACCTTGATTAGAGCATTTGTGGTGGAGTGGTAGGGACTAATGTCTGATTGAAGTGGATTCAAGAAGAATAGAAGAAGACAGGAAGAAACAGTAAGTATAGTCAGTTCATTAGGGAACTCTGCCGTAAGAGGGAACAGAGAAATGGGCAATAGCTTAAGGAAGCTTTGGCTTAAGAGGTTTTTGGGGTTTGGGTTTTTTTTCAGGTTCGAGACATGACAGTATGTTTTGCTGATGGGAATGATGCAGTAGAGAGCGGAAAGAATGATGGTACTGGAGTGGGAACAGTGCTGGAGCAGTAGGGGTCAGCACACAAGTGGAGCATTGCAGCAGGAGAGACAGCAAAGACTGGACGCAGATGTTTGATGGAGCTGGAAGAAATTCTGATTGCTTCTCTTTCTCTGTGAAGGCCATCAGCTGGCAGTGGGCAAGCAGGAAATAGTTGGAGGTTTGAGGAGACAAAAGAAGGTATGAAAGAGTCCTCAGAAGAGTGGGAGGAGACTTGACCTGGGGTTGTGCTGTGTGATTGCCAGGCAGCACTGAGGGTCCACTTGATGCTGGAAGTCATTAAGGTAGAGCAGTGATCTCAACTGGGAGCGATTTTGCCCCCGGGGGACTTTCAGCAATATCTGAAGACATCTGTGGTTGTCACAACTTAGGAGACAGTATCTAATGGTGGAGGCCAGGGATACTGCTAAACACCCCACAGATCACAGGACTGACAGTTCCCAGCCCTCCACAACAAAGAACTGTCTTGCACAAAATGTCAATAGTGCTGAGGTTGAGAAACCATGATACAGAGAGGGACCAGTTGTGCAGGTGCATACCCAGGCTCAGAGTAGCTGGAGAGGTGGATTTAACCAGGGTTAGGGGTTTGCCAGGAGAATACAATAAAGTAAGGAAGGCAGAGAATTGAGAGTGTATGCAAGCGAGTAATTACCACAATTGGCCATGGGATTTAGTCTAGGTGGGAGAGACGTGAAGACATGAGGAGTATGAGGGATAGTGGAAAGCTGGTAGGATCAGTGGATTGTAGGTCCTGTGGGTGAAGGGTTCCTTGAGTAAGGGCAGTACAAGGAGTGAGGTGGTGGTCACAGAGTGTGGTGTTTGAAACCAAGGTTTTGATGGGGTTGCAGGTATTGTTAATGACAAGGGCTAGGTATGACCACAGTAGTAAGTGGCCAGGGTAGCAGAGGACACATGATCGTTGAAGGAAAGGAGGTGAAGAAACAGAAGCCAAGGGGTTGGAAGAATCTTACAGAAATCACCAACAATTGTGACAGGAGTAGCATTATGGGAAAGTGAGTCAGGAGCTATGGTTTTTGCATTTTTCTGCATTTGTTTACCTTTTTAAAAACTTTATCTCACAGCGATTAGAAAATAGGTTGTCTCTCTACATTTGTCTTTTGTGAAGATAGGCATAAAATGGCAGACCAGTTCCAGAAAGCTTTGTCTTTCTTTTTTCTGGTTTCCTTAGGGTGAACAACCTGTTGGGTTGTATATCAGACCTGGAAAGTTCAAAGGGCTGATTGTGTGTCTCTCTCAATGGTCAAGCTCCAAATCCTTCCTAGTTCCAAACCTTGCTGTATATAAAAGGCATTACTCGATTACCTTCAAACTTTAGTAGACTTGTGTTTCTTGACCCCCCAAGTCAGTAACAGAAATTATCAATGGGGAAATGATCATCTTTTAAACATTAACATCAGCTAAGAGACTCATCCACTTGCCATCTGGGCATGTAGGCTGATAAGCCAGCACCCTGCTGAGGCTCTAAATCATCTCTAAGATGAGGCTCACAGGAAAAAATACTCTTGTAACCATTGAATACCACTGTGTTATTGTTTTGTTTGGTTTTGTTTTTAAAAATATCTCTAGGGAAGCAGGCAGGGCTGGGGGGAGAATGGTGCTCAGATAATATTGTGTTTTCCAAAATGAATCTCTTGTATTTCATGTGGCTGTGGGGGTAAGAACACAAATCTGGTTTGGGTGTGCAGGCAGAGTGGAACAGCAGGTTTACTCCCCTCTCAAAAGCTGAGTGACAACTGTGTGTGTTTGATTTTTAAAAAGCACAGCTTGTTAGGCAGAGCTCTGAGCTGAGGCATATCTCCTAGGTCCAAGGCCTGTCTTCCCTGCTTGTACCTGTTTGTACCTGATTGTCTCCATCTGAAAATGAAAAGTAGTCTTTGCTCTCTGTAGAGTCGGTTACCCCCAGTCAACCGTGGTCCAAAAATGGGTGAATACAGTACAGTAAGATATTTTGAGAGAGAGCATGCACATGCACATAAGTGTTATTACTATATATTGTTATAATTGCTTTATTTTATTATTGGTTATTAATCTCTTACTGTGCCTAATTTATGAATTAAACTTTATCATAGGTATGTATGTATAGGAAATAACATAGTATATATAGGGTTTGGTACTATCTGTGGTTTCAGGCATCCACTGGGAGTCTTGGAATGTATACACTGCAAAGAAGGGGGTCTACTGTACTTACTTAAAGGTAGCCAGAAAATGGATTGGACAAGACAGTGAAAGATCTTGGACTCAACACAACATGTTCTCAACCCTGAGAATCACATCTGATTCTCCTGGGGTATTTGAAAAATAGATTCTCAGACCCCATCCAGAAGTCTGGGGTGGAGCTTAAGCATCTGTATTCTTCATGGGTGATTCAGATGTTCAGCCCACATTAACAGCTACTGGTCTAGGGTAGGGGTTGGCAAACTACAGCCCATGGATCAAATCTGGCCAGTTACCTGTTTTTGTAAATAAAGTTTTATTAGAACACAGCGACACCTATTAATTTACTGCCGTCTATGGCCATTTTTGTGATACAGTGGCAGTTTAGTAGTTGTGATGGAAACCTTTTGGCCAGCAAAGTCTAAAATATTTATTATCTGGTCCTTTGCAGAAAAAGTTTGCTAATCTCTATTCTTAGGGGATACTGGATTTTTTTTTTTATAGTATTGATACTATGAGTATTAAAACTGTTTTGTCTGATTTTTTTATAAAGTAGAGTCAAGATATTGTCTCTGGTTGATGAAACAAAAAATAGAGGTTTGACTATATTTTTTTAATTGCAGAAAGAGTAGCCTATAGATGACTTGAAATAGTGATATGTTTATACTAGCAGGGACAAAGGAAGGTGGGGGCTATGAATTAAATTCTCTTTTCTCATAGCAGAAGGTCACTAGATATGTCTAAAGTCAACAAGTAAAGAAATAGCCCCATAAACACAGTGTTACAGATATATGAAGGATTGGAAAGGATTGGTGGGGGCAGCTACCTCAGGAGCAGGGTGGGGGCAGGAGGCTATGGTTTTTCCTTATGGGTTCATCTGTACTATTTGATTTTTTTAAAAAACCATGTGTTGTATTTCTTTGATTTAAAAAAATTAAGACAATTTTAATGAAATATTTCTTCTAATTACAGCATTTACCCTCCAGTACCAGGACAGGAGAGTCCTCTGAGGTGGGCAGGAAAGAAATTTGAGGAGATCCCAATCGCACACATTAAAGCATCCTACAACAAGTAAGCAGGAAGGGAAGCGCCTGGGTGGGTCTGGTGTGGGATTCTTTCTCCTTCACAGGGAGGTCAGGGGTGGCCCTGGAGGCCCTTCTCCGAGTGAAGTTGGGGTGCCAAGTGCTCCATGATGATGCTGATATAGAGGTGCCCCGGGCTAACTCCTTCTTGTTTAGGGAAACCACCTTCTGTCTTTACAAGATTTATTCAGGTTTCATGAAAATGTGAAATGGGTTGGCATATTATATTCATAAGGTTGCTGTCCTTGGGGATAGTGTTTCCTGGTTCTGCTCAAGAGTTGGAGAGAGTATGTTAGGGGCAGTTGGTCCTGCCGTGAAGGTATTTAGTGCTGCTGAGTGCTGCAGCCTAGGGGATGATATATAAGAAGAGAGGTGGTTTACAAATAGATGATTTATTAATAAACTAATCACACAGTGTAAACCTCCAAATAAGTGTTGTCCCTTAAAAGGACTCACCTTGGGCCACTATCCACTGACCTCTACCTTGTAGGGCCGAATGTGAATAATGAGTTTAAAGTGACAAGATTAGTGTTCTTGTGTGGTTTACAAATGGCTGCTGAGGGAGTTTGCAACCGTGTGTTGGCAACGGAAGCATTGCTTGCATTAGTGACAGCTTTGCAGGTTAGCCCCTGCTTGGAAATGGGATCAGTATTTGGTCACAGCCTGCCCACCAAGCAATTTAGAGAACAGTACAATAGACTCTTGTAGTCACAGACTACAGTGTATGGCACAGGTGAAATGCTGTAGGATTTACTTCGGTATTTGTCTGATAGACTTCAAATGAGAGCAGCTGGATTTCTTTTTCTTCCCTCTCAGGCTAATAAAGACATAGGTTACCTTTCTGCATATTTTTTTTAAGAGTCTATGGCCTACTCTACATACCACTATTTAGGCTGTCTCAGGAATAAGAAATTATCTTATGCTTCTGTTCAGTGTAGAAAACCCAAAAAGCCCTTGTAGGGGAAATAGCAGACACATAGCCAGGCTGACAAGCAGATGGTCTGAGCCCAGGGTTGACTCCAGCAGGTCTGCCCATACATCAGCATCAGACTGGCCAGTCAGCTCAGTTGGTTAGAGTGCCACCTTTAATACCAAGGTCAGGGGTTCAGATTCCCCATACCAGCCACCCACCAAAAAATGAAAAATTTTTTTAAATTTAAAATTTGTTTTTAAAAAAAGGGCTGGCCAATTAGCTTGGTTAGACCAAAGTCAAGGGTTCAGATCCCTGTACCAGCCAGCTGCCAAATATATATATATATATATATATATATAACAGCACCTCCCCTGCCCTCTTCTGTGAGCTCTCAGAAAGCTCTCCAGACCAGAAAGTAGAGTGACAACCATGGGGAAATGGAGAGCACGTCTGAAGATTTCATAAAGTCATTCTCTCTCTCTTTTTTTTTTTTTTTTTTTTTTTGGGGGTTTTAAAAAAGGGGGGGCTTTTTTTTTTTTTTTTTTTGGGGGTTTTAAAAAAGGGGGGGCTTTTTTTTTTTTTTTTTTTGGGGGTTTTAAAAAAGGGGGGGCTTTTTTTTTTTTTTTTTTTGGGGGTTTTAAAAAAGGGGGGGCTTTTTTTTTTTTTTTTTTTTTTTTTTGGCAGCTGATGGATACAGGGATCCAAACCCTTGACCTTGGTGTTACCAGCACCATACTCTAAGCAAGTGATCTAATGGGCCAGCCCTTGTAAAGTCATTCTTAATTGTAATTTAACTTGTTAAAGTGATAGATGATTAGAACAAAAGTTTCACTTATTTAAAAAAATTTTTGATTATGGAATAGAATGTCATAAGCATCAAAATTATCCAGTACGGTAATATTGTTAACTTATTTTAGATATGATAATGGTTTATGGGTTTTTGGGGTTTTTGGGGTTTTTTAAGTTCTTATCTTTTAGAAATGGATACTGAAATTTTCCAGGTGCAATGATAGGTGTGAGATTTGCTTCAAATTAACCTATTGGTGAGGGAGTGGAAACAGGGTTTATAGATGAAAGTGAACTGAATATGGGTGGGTGGATAACTGTTGAAGGTGGGTGATGGGCCCATGGGAGTTCGTATACTATTCTGTTCACTTTTGTGTATGGTTTGAAACTTTCCCTAATGAAGTCTTTTTAAAAATTACCTGATGTGAAACGTCTAATTTCTTAGGAAAAAAGCCAGACAAGGACATCACATCTAATTGAAACCCTGGCTACAGGGAAGACACTAGGACGAAAATGTGCCACCCTTCTGGGTAGTGCTTCACCAACATCAGATTATGAAGCTCTCTTTAGATATGATTTGTCACTTTTCAGTTAGGTATAAGGGATAATTCTGACCTTGCCTGACACTTCCTGCAGGAGTTCAAAAAACATTCATCTGAAAAGCTCAGAGTAGAAGCAGCTGAATTTCTTTTTCTTTCTCACCTGGGCTTCTAAGGACATAGGTTAGCTCTCTCCTATATCCTAACCAATCGTTAAATCCTATATGCCTTCTCTACTTTTCCTAGCACACAGATCCAGGTAGTGTCTGCCACTAACCAGCCCCTCGCCCGCACTTCCTGTGGCACGGAGGGGTTTCGGAATGCCAAGAAGGGCACAGGCATCGCAGCACAGACAGCAGCCATAGCTGCAGCAGCAGTAAGTGTGTGTTCTTTCCGGTTCCTTCTGTGGTGTGTTCCACTTTCTGCCTGGCTGATCACTGTGCAGAGAATTCTCATTAAACCATTCAGGAGCCACGGGGGTTTTTGCCAACCCTTGTTAGATGTTCTGACATTGGAGGTGGTTTGAAGAGGTCTGTGTGAAAAAGCTTCTCTTTTTTCTTTCTCTCACCTTCATTAGAGGTGAAGCAGTTCTTTCATTCTAGGAGAATTCTTTTTTTCTTTTTTTTTACATTTCTAAATTTTTTCTCATTGGTGGCTGGCCAGTATGGGGATCTGGACCCTTGACCTTGGTGGTATAACACCACACTCTAACCAACCGAGCTAACCAGCCAGCCCCATTCTAGGAGAGTTCTAGGAGGTCAGAGCTGGGGTACTGAAGGCTTAAGAACCAAACCCCCCTCAATTTAAAGACCAGTGGGGTGGGGTGGGGATGTGATAATAGTCTATTTGGAAAGGCTGTGGTATGGTGAGGACCCTCATACAGTAGTAGTTCTAGTGTAACTGTCGCACACCTTTCTAGAAGAAAATTGGTAGTGTGTCGCTATTCGTGTATTTATTGAACGTCTACAAGGGGTCTCCAAAAAGTTCACAGAGAGATTCCTATTATCTTTTAATTATATTTTTCCATGAACTTTCTAAAGTGCCCTCACACTATACGCCAGACACTTTACATTCATTATCTTGAATATTCAAATGACCCTCAACATTACCCATGTTTTCAAGAGCCAGCTGAGATTCGGAGCATGTGACTTGCTCAGAGCCCTGCAGCCAGTTCACTTCTCTGATCTAAACCCAAATGGGTTTGGAACCAAAGCCTCTACACTTTCTACTGCAGCACAGGCCTTATAAATGTTCACACTCTGCTGAACCAGAAATGTTTTCTGAAGGAAAACCTTGACCTTCAAACAAAGCTCAATGCCCAAAAATATTGATTGCTATATATTAATGATCATCAAAAATTAAAATGCTGTGGGGCCGGCCCGGTGGCGCACTGCGCTGGTGCGCCACTTGGGAAGCGCGGAGGCGCTCCCACCGAGGGTTCGGATCCCACATACAGACCGGTTCCTGCTCACTGGCTGAGCGAGGCGCGGGGGCAACACCAAGGGTTGTGATCCCGTTGATCCCGTTGCCGGTCCCGGTCCGGTACGGGGGCGACACTGAGGGTTGCGATCCGTTGCCGGACACGGAAAAAGACAATAAATAAATAAATAAATAAATAAATAAATAAATGTTTAAAAAAAAAAAAAAAAATTAAAATGCTGTAAGTGCCCAACAATGGACAGATTATATGTAATTACAATAAATATGACAGTGTTAACAGTGGCTTCTGCATGGTGGGTTATGAGTGATTTCTGTGTATTTTTCAGTTTCTATAATGAACTGCCTTTATAATCAAGAAAGAAAAATTTAACTCTAAGGAGTTTAAATGATAACACTTTTTAACTCTAACTAAGGATTTTAAATGATAACACTTAAGTGGGTATTTAGGCAAAAGTCTTTGAAGTCCAGGGTGGCACTTCATGGTCTGAAATGCTGCATTTACTCACCTGAGAAAAATCTGAGTAATATTTAGAAATCTCCATTAGGGGGCGGTGCTGTCCTAGGCTGAAGGGATCACAGTAGACTTTAATTCTGTGCCTTGAGTTCTGTGATCTCTGCTGGCCTCTCTCCTCCACTGTGGCCATCTGTCCTTTGCTCCCTCCGCTGTCTTCTGCCTCCCTTTTTACTCTCTGTGTGTGCCATTTCCCTGGAACTTGGAGCCCTCTTGCTCCCAGCATCAGTAGCAAGAGATGTGGATGCAGTAGTTCTCTGGGGCACTGACCACCTGCTGCTTCTCTTCAGAAAGCTACAGGGAAGGGCGTGACCCACGTCAGAGTCGTGGTGAAAGGTCTGGGGCCAGGGCGCTTGGTAAGTGACTGTGATTCTCCCTAATGTGTGTGCTTTCTTTAGTTAGTGAGAGAAATTGGGGCTTGAGAGATGAGTGGGGAGAGAGTGGAAAAGCACCCTTTAGTGGATTTCCATGATGCTTGAAGTTTCTTTCTGTTGTTCCTATAATCTACTAAGCCACTCAAAGCGAGCCTAGATCACTTAGGTTAATTCATGAGACACTTACTGAGTGCCTCCTGTGTGCCAGGCCCTGAGAATGGGAAGGCGGTCCCTGGGGGACCATCACGAACAGCTCCTCAGTACAGCCTGGTGAGCACAATGGTGAAGCATGAGCCCAGGGTGCTGGTAGCCCATGGGGGGTGCCCAGCCCAGCAGGGATGGTCTTTCCTCATGATCATTAACAGAGATGATCTTTAGCTTCCTCTAAGAGGTGACATCTCTCTGACTTTGCAAGAATAATGAGGTATTAGTTGGGGAGAGGAGAGAGGGCACATTCCAGGCAGAAGAAACTGCTTAAGTAAAGCTGTAGAAGTATGATACTTAAGGTGTGCGAAGATCTGCAAGGAGTCTTTGTTCTCAGATAGTAAAGCACAAGGTGGACTGTGTTGAGAACTTGGTTAAAGGGTTTGGGTGGAGAACTTTGCTAGAGTGGGATAGGATTGGCATTGTAGGTATAAGACTCAGTGAGCCTCCCTGCTGTCCTCCCTTCCCACCCCACCCCGTCCTGTCCCTCTCTGAGCCCTATCTGGAGATGCTGGGTTCTTGTTTCTGGAACCATGCCATTCTATTGTTCCTTCTTCTTCCAGTCTGCCATTAAGGGACTGACCATGGGGGGCCTGGAAGTGATCTCAATCACAGACAACACACCCATCCCACACAACGGCTGCCGCCCTAGGAAAGCTCGGAGGCTGTGATGAAAAGGAAGCCTGCACTTGAACCTGACCTCAAGTCTTACCTCCGGTTGGACCTTGTAGTAAGCTCACTGTCAGAGCCATCTCCAGAAGAGGGCTGGTTGGAGACCTTTTGGGCTATAAGGGAAAGCTCTGCCTCCTTACACAGTGGCCTTTGCTTGCACCTCTGACTGGAGACAGGTGTGCCTCACAAGTCAGACTGTGCCTCTCTTATATGAGAGAGAGCTACAGGGGCAGCTGTGGTCACAGAGCCAACCTCTGTTCTGAGAAGATAAAAGATTATCTGTACTATCTGTAGTAATTGTGAGTTTTTTGCTTCCAGAGTTGCAAACCATAATCCCCACTTCCTCTGCAAAAGAGATTGTGGATTGAGGTGAGACCCTAGATCGAAGGATTAAAATGTAAATGTGAGCTTCTGTTTGCCAGACACCTTCTTCTTTTGTTTCAGATATTTCTTTTGTAGCCTGTTAACCAAGGTACTAGAGCTCATCATAGCAACTTTTCTTATTATTGATTTGTAATTTGGCTCCCTATTGAGAGCTTTTTGCCACCTACCTCTGGATTCCGATAGAAGATTTCACCATCAGTAGGCATGTTTAAAGTTAACTCTAGCATGTGGAAGGATTGTCTGCAGTTTGTATATTCTACAAGTGGACAATTAGGTTCCCCACACTAAAGTGGCAGTCATCTTTCACACGCTCCATGGGCTTCAGCAGTCCCAGCACCCAAGACGGAGTGGCCCTAAATGCAGGAACTGTATAAAACTGAGCCTTCTCTAGAAAATAGGGTGGATGGTCAGATGGGCTCGAATAGAGCCCAAATCAGGAAGTGCAGAAAAGTGAGTTGGGGTGGAACCCGGATAGTGCTGACAGGTGGGTGCAGCTCAGGACCCCCCAGGCAGTACTGACTGCTCCCACCCTGTGGTCACTTGCTGGCATCCCCATTGGCCAAACCCAACAGGAAGCAAGAAGGCAGGGGAGCCCAGTGGTGTGGTCCTTGGGGGCTCAGCCTCCACAGCCCACAGAATGAATCTGGAGGGGCACACTGAGAGTAGCAGGTACAGGTGGTTTGTGATTCCTAAAACTGAAACCCTCCTTTGTGCACTAGTTTTGGAAAGTGTTATTTTACTCACAAGAGGGCTTTGAAAAAGAAGACCTTGCCCAGGAGAGCCTACGAGCACAGACAGGACCCTAAGGACCCTAGAGGATCAATGGCCTTGGGCCCAGAAATGGATGCCTGGCACAACCCCTGGGAGCCAGTTGGGGGTGGGCTGCCTTTTTCAAAGTACTGGCAAATGTATGCTCCTTTACTGCTGTGTGCTCAGTGCATGCTGTTGTTTCCAGGCTCTGAGCAGCCACTGAAACTTGTGCTTTCTTAAACTTTTGTGTCTTGTTTGTCTTGGCCTCTCAAAGACTGACCCTTCCCCACTCCCTTGGGGAGACTAAGGCACCTTCGCTAAAGGCTGACAAATTAAGGCAGTTGTTGTTAACCTGAAATGCTGGCTGCCCCATCCCCTGCTGCCGCAAGCCCTTCTCAGAAGCAGCAGGCGTCTCTGTCCTGAGAAATGAGGTGGAATGTGTGCTTGCACTTCCCCAGGCAGGCAAGAGGCAAGGCCTCAAATCTGGGCCCTGAGTGTTTGAATAAGCAGGTGTTGACATCAGCTTGTGTGAGATGCTTCCTTGTTTCCTGGCAGCAGAGCCTCAGATTATTTCTATGGGTGCATCTGCAGTTTTGCTTCTAAAGCTGATGGCATGGGACTGGCTGCATAAGGCAAGAAACCTATCTTCTCCTATGCAAGCAAAAAGACAAATGCAATTTCTTTCCTTTCACATAGATGTGATTTTCTTCACTTCTTCAGCCAAGGTCATCATCTGACACCAAGATATACGATCACTGCCAAATAAGCCTGTTTAACACCAGAGTCCCTGGATGGTAGCAGAATATCACTTGGCACTATAGGAGAAACTATTTCCCACTTGCATCTGCCTGCAACCTGGCTCTGACCTGACCATTTAAAGAAGAATACATATATAGCTTCCCCTTGGGCTCCTTTATTCTTTTTCTCTATTCATTTTTTCCTATTCTGGAAAGACACATTGCTTTTTAAATCTAGGTACTATCAACCCAAGGAGGTGGAATGGTCACTACCAAAGCAGAAGTTGTTTGTTCAACCAAATTGAGCTAACATGGGTTAGTCCATAAACAGGGCAGCTGGGCACTGGCAGGGACAGATCTGGTGCTGTCACTACTCTCCTAGAGCTCACAGGCTAAGGAGGCCAGACAATATGTGGCTGAGTTAGAATGAAGTTGCATAAAAGACGCATAAATATTACTGGTGTTCAAGTGAAAGAGTGATCCTCTCAGTTTAAGAGATGGAAGAGATCCCTCAGGTTACTGGTTATGGTTTGGTGGGCGTGTTCAGACTGTATAGAGAGACAAATGGAGGTAAAAGCTCACCAAAGGGTGGGGGGGGGGGTGGGAAGCAGGAGGTCAGAAAACATGCAGTCGCCCCAGGGATAAAGAGCAGGGTAAACAGATGTGGAGGAAGGCAGGTGGGTGTGTAGAAGGCTGTGGTCCAAAAGGAATGTGAGAGATTCTAGAGACAGCTCATTTAGAGGAGGTGAAGCTAGGTATCTAGGTGTCTAAAATAGAGTTGAAATAAAAGTCAGTGAGGTGTAAGTCAAGTAATTACAAGATGTGGACAAAGAAAGTTATCTTGATGCCAAAGCTCCAAAGAGGATGTCAGGGTAGGGGATGATGAAGTCTGTGAGATTCAAAGTGGAGTGGCCCAGAGTGTAGAGGGAGCACAGAAGGAGGGGAGTGGTAGATAAACATGAATTTCAAAGTGAAGGACTGTTGGGTGGAGGTGCAACAGCCTTGTCCCGAGAGGCAGCTGAGGAGTTGGGGGTACACAGATGCCTATCCCAGACCCTCAGGCAGAGGCAGGTGTGCAGCATTAGGTGAGGAAAGGGAAGGGGTGTTGGGGGAAAGGATGGTATGAGAGGCTCTCTCTCTTTGGTAGAATAAAGGTCCGAGGACCATGGAGGGAATGGCAGGGTCATCAGCGACATGGAGGAGGATGCAGCTGGGGCCGGCCAGGGGCACCGTGCAGTGACTGGATGGAGATGCCAGGAGAGTGGAAACACAAGCTGTGTAGCCAGGATCCGGACTGGAATCTGTGTCTAATATCCAATATCTACTCTGCTTCTAACCTTTTATAAAGGAAGAAATACAAAAGGTCGAAAAAGATGAAAAGATGTCCAATCTTACCAGTAATCAGGGAAATGGAAATTAAAATGTGTTACCATCATTCTGCAAATGTAGAGATGCGAAGCAGAGCCACGGTGGGGATGAGGTTGGCCAGGAAAGTAGAGAGTGAGAGAAAGAAGACAACCAAGTCTGTAAATGCTGCCACAAGGAGACACTGCAGAGGAGGCAGGTATGGAACGATTAGAGACAGGAGCAGGTAGCTTCTCAAAAGCCAAAGGGGTCAGCACTTCAAGAAGGAAAGGAGTCAAAATGTAGAACGCTGCCCAGAGGTCAGGTAGGAGCTGTGCAAGATGGGGACTGGAAGTGACCGTTGGGTGGCAATGTGGAGGTCATGGTTCACCAGAGGGAGAGAGGGTCAGAGACAGTGGAGATGAGAAAGTAGAGATTTGAGCCGATGGTGCTGAACTTTCTGGTAAAGGCTGTCTTGTGGTGACAGAGAATATGTGAAGGGATCAGCACACTCCCCTGCAACGCAGTGGGCCATGAGTCAGGGTGTGTGGAGGAGCAAAGATGCTCAGGGCTGGAGAGAAGCAGATCTTAGCAAGGTAGGGAGAGTCCAGGCCTCTGCCGGAGACAGCAGTGTGGAACCCCAGGGACAGGCATGCCCATTGTGTGTTAGGAATGGCAGTGTCTGCTGTGAGCATTGTGGGCACCAATAACAAACACATAATGTCCTTGGAATCGTACACAGGGAACGTTTTTTGTTCTTTGCAACATTCCATGCAATCATTCTGAAACAAAAGAGCTCACGTGCGCGCTCGCACTCTCTCTCTCTCTCTCTTTTTCTCTGCTCTCCTTGGGAGAATGTAAATAGCTAGAGCCTCTTCAGAGGGAAATTTGACAACGGCTGTCAACACTAACATGCACAGACTTTTGGCTTCATAATTCTGGGAATGTATATCATATAGAGAGCAGCACTGTCCACCAGAACTCCCTACCCAAGGGAAACGTTCTCTGTCCGCACCACTAGTGTGTGTGGTAGCCACTAGTCCCACATAGCTCATGAATAGGGCTAGTGTGACCAAGGAACTGAATTTTAAATTTTATTTCATTTGAATTAAATTTAAGTAGCCATATGTGGCTTGTGGTTACTGTACTGCACGGCACAGCTATGGATGTTCTTTCCCATGTGCACCACGCAGGCAAAGATCCACTGAGGCACTGTGAGTAATAATGGTAAATGATTGTAACTTAAGTGTCCATCAATAAGGGGCTAAAGAAATGATAGTACACTCATATAATGGAATGTTAGCCCTGAAACAAAGCAAGGTATACTGCTAAGTGAAAGATAAAGGGGTGGGGACAGAACAACGTGCATGGTATAGCGGCTGATTTTTGTAGAAAATATGTGTGCGTGTATGTTTGCATGTGCATTGAATATCTGGAAAAATACACTTCGCACCCCGAAATGGTAACATGCTTATATTTAGCTCCAGGAAGAGAAACTGAGTGGAAGACTTAACTTTTTACCTTCTGCTTTAGAAGTGGGTGCCATATTGTTACTTATTCAGATTAGCTTATGAACTAATTAAAATAAAACTAGAAATAAGTAACTTTTTAAAAAATGTACAGAAGCTGCAGAGTCAGGCATTATGTAAATTACCTGCTGAAATGTGCACATATACATTTTGACACACACAGATCTTGTAAACCACCGACCCCGGCCCCCATTGGTGGTCCAATATTTGGGGGAAAGACATCTGATTTGGCTCTGAAATTTGTTCTAGCAATTAATCTGGCTTCTTCCCTCTGCCCACGCAGTTCACATCAACTTGGGCACGTGCTTTCGAATTAGCATAACAAGTCTTGCCAGAAAAGAGTTGTTATTGCTTGGCTGGAAGGAGGAACAGACAGAGCAGGCCGCTTGCTCGTTTCCATAGTGCCCTGTGGCAGCTTAACCACCTTAGATTTGCGTAATCCCCTTGAACTGAAAATAAATGTCAACAGAGGGGCAGTGTGGTGTCACAGGGGGCCCTGGCTGGAAGGACACCTGTTGTCTAGACCCAGCTTGAGCACAGACTCACTATGTAGGCTGTCAGCCACACTTCCCACCCCCCAGCAGACCTCAGTTTCCCCCACAGAACAATGAGGGGTTGAGCAGATGCAGCTCTAGCATCCCATGAGCCTACACTTCATTCATGGCTGC